GACGGCTCCGGAGATCTCCAAGACGGCCCTAAACCACCCAAAGAGGGACCCACGACTGCTCAGGTAGGGCCCAAGGCGGCCTCTGATGGCCAAGAGGCCCCTCAGACGCCCCAACAGGGCTCCAAGTCGACCTCCAGGATGCTAGCACTTTTGATTTCAACGTGTTTTTCCATGTTGTCAGCGTTCTCGCCTTGTCGGTAACCCGACGCTCCAAGACGGGCCCGTAGACCTTCAAAGTCGCCCCAAGACAGCCCAAGAGGCCCCCAAGACGGCCCACGAGATCTCCAAGACGGCCCTAAAGCGCCCAAAGAGGGACCCACGCCTGCCCAGGGAGGGCCCAAGACGGCGTCTGAAGGCCAAGGGGCCCCGTAGACGCTCCAAGAGGGCTCCAAGTGGACCTCCACGATGTCAACACTTTTTGATGCCCATGTGTGTTTCTACATAGTCCGCGGTTTCGCCGTTTCGGTCGCACGACGCTCCAAGACGGGCCCATGGGCCCCCAATATCGTCCCAAGACTGCCCAAGAGGTCCCTAAGACGGCCCAAGAGGCCCCCAAGAGGCCCACTAGAGGACGGCCCCAAAGATGGCCCTCTTGGGCCATCTTGGGCGCCTCTAGGCCCATCTTGGGGCGGTCGTGGGCCGCCTTGGGACCGTCTTGGGGGCCTCTCGGCCTGTCTTGGGGCGAGCCTGGGGGCCTCGAGGGCCGCCTTGAACGCCGTGAAACCCGAAACACCCAACATGATGAAACAGTATGCTTTCCTTCGGGAATGAAGCGATTGTTGCCCCTTGGGGCTCTTTTGGACCTCGTGGAGGGCTATCTGAGGCCTCTTTCTTTGGCCCTCTTGCGGCTTTCTTGTGGACTCTTGGGGGCCTGCTGGCGGTCTCGGGGGTCTTCTTGGGGCGAAAATCACGGAACCTGAAATGGAGTTCCCCATCTTGGTCGTCTTTTGCGGCCCTCTTGAGCCGTCTCGGGCGCCTCTGGGCCAGTCTTGGGGCGCCCTTGGCCCGCCCTGAACGCGGTGAAACGCGAGAAGTCCCACATGTTGACAACGCACGCATTCGGAATGCGTGCGTTGTCAACATGTGGGGCTCTTGACGGCTCTTGACTATCGGGGCCCTCTTCAGGGACTTCTTGCGGCCACTAAGGTCGCCCGGGGCCGTCCTGGCGCTGCCTGGGAACCTTCGGAAGCCGTCCAAAAGCCATCGTTGACGGTCTCCGGCTGTGTTGGAACGGTCTGGTACACTTTTACAGCAATCCCATGGGGACACTCTGGAAGCCACGGGGGCGCCCCTGGGCCATCCGGACCGGTCATGCGAACCCGTGGCCGTGGTCCAGGGCCCGCCTGCGGCCGACTCACATGCATATACGTAGCACCCCGCAGATGCGGATAAGAGTGAGCAGGGAAGCGGGGACATCGGCAGTCTGCGAGATTCTGGAGAAGCCCGCCGCAGGCGCCAAAATTTTTGCACATTCTACAACGAGCCCGCCGCAGGTGCCGATTTTTCTGTTAAACCAATGTGAGTAGGTCGCGGGTGGGTCGCAGCTGGGTCGCGGGTGGGTTGCGGGTGGGTCGCTGTTGGGTAGCGGGTGGGTCGCGGGTGTAGAGGGCAGAAAATCCACCCCATAAGAATCACCCCGATAAGCGAAGCCGTTTAGTAAACGCACAAGGAATGAATCGAACAGGGCAGGGCTGTTCAGTCAACGCCCAGGGCAGTTTAGTAAAAGTCAATTGTCGGGTCCGGGTGGATTTTCCTCCCTTGAGGGTGGGTCGCGGGGTGGGTTGCGGGTGGGTCGCGGGTGGGTCGCGGATGGGTCGCGGATGGGTCGCAGGGTGGGTCGCGGATGGGTCGCTGGGTGGGTCACGGGTGGGTCGCGGGTGGGTCGCGGGGTGGCCAAGATCTACTCCATGGGGGGTGGGGATGCGAGAGCCCGCGCCGATCGGCGAAACAATGAATACGAAAACGACGACTTGCTGCCTATTTGGAGAGATCCGATTCGCATCTGTTTCCCTTCGCCTCTTTCTTTCTTCTCCTCTATTGTGGGACGGGTAGCGCTGTGTGTGCGTGCGTGCGCGCGGCATCTGCTGCTCGCGCCTGAGGACCCTCTGCGCCGCTGACTAACAATTATAGCCGGAGTGCAGTATCCCCAAACAGGGTTTTTTAACCCACTGCGGTTTCCAAGGTCGATTGCGTGCCCGTCCAGTGCGGGCTGGCATGGCATGTTCGAATATGATAACACCTCGCGCGCGGCATCTCGGACCCCAGAGTTGCGACGATGTCTCGGGCGAAACGTGCTGCGAGGAAGCCTCAGGCGAAATGGGCCGGACCACCTCGAGCGCGGCGTCTCAGAGCTCCGAGTTGCGGGGGCCTCCTGGGGCCTTCAGGGGCCTCCTGGGGATCTCCTGGGTGGGCCTCCTGTGGCCTCCTGGACCCCACCTGGGGCTTCCTGAAGCCTCTTGGGGCTGCCAGGGTGGGATATCTAACATGTGGTCGTCTGGGCCCCCCCAAATAGGGAGGGCGGCCACAAGAGCAGGAAAAATCAACGAATCGACACCGGATGTGTATTAAGTTGACACGTTCTGATAGGGGGCCCCCTGAAGCCTCCTGGGAGCCTCCTGGGAATCTCCTGGGGACCCCTGGGGCCTGTCCTGGGCGTCCTGCGGCCTCCTGAAGCTCTCTGGGGCCTCCTGGGGCTCCCAGGGTCCCAAGGGGGATATGTAACATGTGGTCTTCTGGGCCCCCAGGCTGGACCACCTCTTGCGCGGCATCTGGGAGCTGAGAATTGCAAGAATATCTTGTGCGAAACGGGCCGGACCACCTTGCGCACGGCAGCTCAGAACTCCGAGTTGCGAGGATGTCTCAGGCGAGACGGGCCGGACCACCTCGCGCAGGGCATCTCAGAGCTCAGAGTTACGAGAATATCTTAGGCGAAACGGGCTGGACCACGTCGCGCGCGGCATCTCCGAGGTCAGAGTTGGGAGGATGTTTCAGGCGAAATGGGCTGGACCACCTCTCGCGCGGCAACTCAGAGCTCAATTTTCCGAGGATGTCTCAGACGAAACACCTCTCGCGCGGCATCTCGGAATGCAAAAAAGTGCGAGGATCTCTCAAGTGAAAGGGCCGGGACCACCTCTTGGGCGGCATCTCGGGGCTCAGAGTTCGGAGGATGTCTCAAGCGAAACGGGCACCTCTCGCAAGGCATCAGAGAGCGCAGTTGCGAGGATGTCTCAAGCAAAACGAGCCGGACCACCTCGCGCACGGCATATCAGGGCTAAGGGTTTGGAGGATGTCTCAGGCGAAACGGGCCAGACCACCTCTTGCGCAGCATCTCGGAGCTCAGAATTTCGAGGATGTCTCAGGGGAAATGGGCTGGACCACCTCTTGCGCAGCATCTCAGAACTCAGAATTGCGAGGATGTCTCAGGAAAAACGCGCCAGACCACCTCGCGCACGTCATCTCAGAGCTCAGAGTTTGAAGGATGTCTCAAGCGATACGGACTAGACCACCTCTCGCGCGGCATCTGGGAGCTCAGAGTTTGGAGGATGTCTCAAGCGAAACGCGCTGGACCACCTCTCGCGCGGCATCTGGGAGCTCAGAATTTCGAGGATGTCTCAGGCGAAACGGGCCAGACCACCTCTTGCGCGACATCTGGGAGCTCAGAGTTTGGAGGATGTCTCACGCGAAAATCCCAATCCCGGACAACTCAGAAACGAGAGTTGCGAGGATGTCTCAGGCGAGACGGCCGGACCACCAAATATTTTTGAGGACGTCTCTGCTTTGAATTCCCTCGGCTGGAGTTAGCTTCTATCACAACATTCAACATCACCCCGTTCAGCAAGCTGCTTGGGGAAAAAATACGTTCGCGTGGTGTGTGTGTGCGCGTGGTGGAAGGATGCGGGGGGGGGCTTGGCAGTTCGATCCGCTGCTGCTGCGATGGCGCATCGGCGTCGAGACAACAACGCGGAGGAGGAGGAGGCGGTGGAGGATAGATAATTCGGTGGTGGAGGAGAGCACCTGTTATACAAGCGCACTCGATGAAGGCCACAAGGGGACATCGGTATACAGGTCTATACTGCAACGCTTGGCGACTGCAGGCGCCGAACTGTCCTCGACGAGGGTCTTTACTCGAGGGACGGGTCTTATTAGACGGGGTGGGACTTGCTCGCCCGTGCGCGTCTCTGCTAATTTTTGTTTGACGCCTTCCTTGTCCACATGTAGTGGACGTTTTCGGGCCCACAACTGTTACGGTAATCGCCCCACCAGGCAGCTGCAAAACGTGTCTTTCGATCAATTGTGTCCTATCGATTGTATGGCTTGCAACTTCGCGGCATAGGCCAACATACAATCAGTGCTGCCGCATACACTACGGAGGTGGGCTTTCTTGTGTGATGGTCTACGGTGGTGGTGGAGGACCGGCCAGCCTGCACCGCAAGCGCCAGCCTCATCACCTTACACTCTGCGGCGCACATCATACAGCTGTGCTTCACATGCACATTCAGCATCAGCCACTCCTAGCACCTGGCAAGCAGCGACGACACCATATGGCACGCAGCTTGTTTTTTGTCCGTTGCACGTGCAATCCCTTCTCTCGATCAGTCTTCGTTGCCTACTATTGAAATAAAAGTTCGTTCTTCGCGATGCGCTTTCTAACTCCAATACTGCCTGGCAGACGCAATATTTGTGCCCTCAGGGGCATGCATCATTTCACTATGTCTCTGTAGCCGTCTTCAATCTCTGCTACGTCCGCCAGGCGTACTTTGTTGGCCCTATGGCCGAAGGCGGCACTGTCAGGCGATTTGTTGCTTACAGACGCTACAATCCCAAGGGTTAAAGTCCGCTCAACGTCAAAAAGGAGGAGGAGGAGAAACATGGAGACGGTGGCAGCGGATGTTGATCTGGCTCTGTTCCTGCCGAGGGTCTGAAGTATCCAGCCCGCCAGAGCGCGCGCCTCTGCCTCCTGCCTGGGGCCCAGCGCCAGAGGCGTGTGCGTCGGCGCGGGCCCTCAGCTGCGCCACCAGCAACTCGAGCTCGGCCCTTGAGAGGCAGGCGCTTTATCACAGGGCGCGCTCTTCGCCTCGGCACGATGGCGGCTTGACCTCTAGGTGCCCAGCTTCGCACCGGGGAACCGGGGAACATGACGGCCCTAACCGTAGACTTTGTGGGGCTTTCGATTGGACGCAAAAGTTTGGCCCAAACTCGGTGATACAAGATGGGAGGGCGTCCATCCTCGCCAGGGGTGAATCAGAATGCCCCCCCCCTGGGGGTGCATCCCAGGAGTTCCACCCCTCTTCCAGAGGAGCAGACAACGACATTCGTATGAACTTTTGAAAGGCCGCACGGATTTCTTGGATCCGCGCTGGACTCCACTCCCTGTCGCTCGGACCGGCAGAGGCGGCGCCTGCGGAGCCCAACGCGAATCTGCGACATCCGCTCGGGGTTTAGAAAATGTGTGATCAATCGGTTGTTTTGTCTTCGGCTTTCTGAGCGGCCCAGCTTCTCGGGCGGAACTCGGGGACCAACCAGCCTCGAACTGATCTCTACCCGGTACCCCTAAGATCAGCAAGCTTAGGGCGACGACAATCTTCTGGACGTGCCCTCAGAAAGCGAGGGAACCCTTCGGATCGGCACCGAGGTAAGGTGGTGCCCAACGTAGGGATCGTGATTATGCTTCAAGCCGGTGAGCGACCTTGCGTCACCCCCCGAGTGCGAGGGGCAGTTCTCTCGGGCCAGGAGCGCAGAGCGCGAAGCGCGGCTGCAGCCAAAGTCCATAGCAAGGATTCAGGGTGAGGATGCAGGAAGAGAAGGAAACACGCTACGAGGAAGCACAAGAACAAGAGGGTGCTGCAATACACGTCCATCAGCGTGTGAGCCACCGTGAGCGTCTGCATGGTAGCTTCTACGACTAGCACGTGGTGGCCCCGGGGCCGCCCACCACCTCCTCTGCAGGTGCGCGGCCTCCTCCTCCTCCTCCTCTGCTGTGCGGCAGGCCGCGCTGTCATGAGCATGCACGCTGCAGGCCGTGCCGCCCCCGTCGCTAGGCAAGGTAAGGATGCAAGATCCTTTTGAAGTCCCATTCACCACTCAGAGCTCCTTGGACGTCAAGGTTGGCTCAGGATGGGCGGAAGAAGCAGGGATGCAAAGGTGGCCTTGATCAAGCGGTGCATCCTTACCATGGATGCTGACTGCATCTTCGGGCACCCTCTGTGGGCAAGACAGCATCACCGTCCAAGCGGGAGGAGGCGCTGTCCAGCGGCCGCCGAACATGTTCACTTTGCTGGCACATCACTGATCGAACAGTCGTCGCGGACAGACATGCAAGTCGCAGTCGCGATCAATAAGGGAATCGGACGTGCACAACAACACGATGTCCCTGACCGGTTGGCGAAAGACTTGAACCTCTCAGTGGACTGCAGGCCTAACGGCGCGATCACGAACGCCTCTTTTGCAATCCAACCTCCCACTTGATCATGTGTTTTGATTGCCGGATCCGCCCGTCTCAGAACGCTGTATGATGATGCAGCCGCAGGTAAATGAGCACGATGCGCAAGCCTGCTCTGGGCACGAGCAAGGGAAACAGTACGAAAGGGATGGGGGAAAAGCAGAGGGGGCAAGTCCCACATGGCCCACTTGTTTGTTGCACGTGATCCCGTACTCTGGGAGGAATTAACGAAATGGCAAATGTATTCAGGTACCTTGAACGTCAAACACATTATATACAGAAGTCTAGAGTAGTAACGGAAATAGGTCTGCAAACCGAATGACGCACGGCTGTTCGCTGGGAAGCACCCGAATGTCAGGGCAGAGCACGGCGGGCACGACCAGCGGGGCAGCACAGCGCAAGGACAAGCCAGGACCTAAGGCGCGCGTGACAACCCCACACTTGCCCGCCGCCTCAGCCAAAGCCAGTGCAGGACTGCTCGAGAACAAACGCGAATGTACAATCGCCTGCTCTTGCTACTCGCACGAATCTGTTTTCTTTCACATCCAGCTGTACAAAAGTCACAAAGGTCTGATGCCGCTAGGCTCAGGTATCGAACTGCTAATGGAATACGTGCCTGCACGATGCTTGAGAATGCAGCTGCAGCACGTGATGTGTAATTGCGAACTCTCTGCATGTTTGGAGCACTTGGCAGTCTGCACGAACAGGGAGTTGATCCTCCTAGTGCTGCTGCAGTGTTCCTTCAAGGTCGGCTCTGGTCGGGCGGGCCCTCACAAGCGGGTCAGGTTGGGCGGGTCGGGCCGGGCGGGCCCTCACGGGCGGGTCGGGTCGGACGGGTCGCGTCAGGTCGGGCGGGGCCTGACGGACGGATCGGGTTGGGCGGGTCGAGTCGGGTCGGGCGGGGCCTGACGGGCGGGTCGGGTCGAGCCGGGCGGGCCCTGACGGGCGGGTCGGGTCGGGCGGGTCGGGTCGGCTCGGGCGGGCCCTGACGGGCGTGTCGGGTCGGGCGGGTCGGGTCAGGATCGGTGTGAAACGGAGGACGGCGGCGCCAGATCGGAAGGACCCTGACGAGTGGGTCGGATCGGAGAACGTGGTCGGCGTAGGCAAGGCCTAGGCATAGGGGGAAGGCCCAGGGTCGGGCTGGGGGTTGGCCCTAGGGTGGCCCTCGGGCCAGGGGCAAGGCCTAGGGCAGCCCTAGAGGTAACCCTACGTCTAGGGTAGCCCCAGGAATAGGCCTAGGGCCCAGGGGTAGGCCCTAGGGTAGACGTAGGGTAGGCCTATGGGTAGGCCTGGGGTAAGCCCTAGGGGTCGGTCTGGGAGTAGGCCTAGGGGTAAACCCTAGGGTAGGCCGAGGGTAGGCTGGGGGGTAGGTCCTAGGGTTCGGCCCGAAGGTAGGCCTAGGGTAGGCCTAGAAGTGGCCTAGGGCAGGCCTAGACATGGGCCCCAGGGTAGGCCTAGGGTGGGGGGGTAGATCCGAGGGTAGGCCTAGGGAAGGCCTAGGGGTGGGCCCTAGGGTAGGTCTAGGGTAGCCATTGGGGCAGGCCCTAAGGTAGGCCTTGCCCGGGCGATCTACATGCCCCTCGAAGGTTTCGCCCGGCAGGAGCGCCAGGCGAGGGCCGAGGATATCGAATTCGTGAACCGCCTCGCGGGCCCGCCGTCGCGCGGCGTCAAGGGCACGCAGCCCAACGGCCAGCATGTGCCCAACCGTTGCTCAAATCGGCCGAGCGCCTGAGCAACAGTTGCCACAGGCGTCCGGCAGTGAGACACACTTTCGCGTTGGCACACAGGGGGTTATCGCTCAACGCGCAGGAGGTTTGACGCGCGTTATGTTCCACGCGCGCAGAATGCCGCGCAAATCCCACCAGCCATCTGAACGTAGGTGGTGTATAGAGCCTCCTCTTCCAACCCCCTTCTCCGCCGTCGGAGAGAGACTTGCTCTCCCGCCACTCCCTCGCCTGGGTCTGGACGGGGGGGCCGCGAGGGCTTTGAACGCCCAAGATGGCTCAGAGTGGGCCTCGGAAGGCGCAAGATGACCTCCAGCATGGTTCCATATGGCCCTTAAAATGCTTCCAAGCGGCCACCGCGCCTTCCCGAGACGGCTCCAAGTGGCCACGGGGCGTTCCAAGGAACGTCATAAAAGGTCGTTTGATGCTGTCAGGCCTCAAACTGCCCGCAAGATCGTCAAAGAGAGTCCCAAATAGGCCAAGAGGAGGATGGCCCCACGATTGTTCAACAGCGCTCCGCTACTATCCGAAGAGGGCCCCCCTAGGGGGCATTTCGTGCTCCATGGGGAGCGGCGCTATTTCGCCCCGCCCCTGTGTTGCTCGATGTCCTCCAAGATGGCCCAAAGCTGGCTCGAATGGAACCAGAGAAAACATCAGCCTGGCGAAGGACCTAACCATGTGCAGTTGTGGATGCCGCAGTTGTCAATCTCATGTTCGGTTGGGTTCCTCATGGGGCCACGATGCGCGCGAGGGGCGCACCGACGTGGTTAGGGTGGGGTGGAATGGGGGGGGGGGGCGTAGATGGGCACCGCCATGGGGGCGTTGGGTGCAGGTCCCTATGGGCCCACGAAGCGTGTGAGGGGTCAGCCGAGATGGGTCGCGCGGACACATGCGAACGGCGCCATTGGGGCCTTCTGTGGACCTCCCCATGGTTCCGCGAAGCGCGTGGGAGGTGTGCCGGAATAGCTCGCGCGGGCGCATGCGAATCCAGCCACAGAGGCCTTCGGTAGAGCTCGTGCGTCGACATGTGTCGTGCGGGTGCACGTGGGCCCTGCCATGAGGGCCTTCGGTGGAGCTTCCTGTAGGGCACCTGGGCGGTGCGGACGCATGCGAACGGTGCCGTTGGGAGCCTCTGGTGGAAATCCCTATGGTGCTGAGCCTAAATGGGTCGCGCGTGCGCATGTAAACCCTGCCACTGGGGCCTTCGGTGGAGCTCCCGATGGGGCCACGAAGCTTGTGAGGGGTGCGTCGCAATTGGTCGCGCGGGCGCTTGCAAACCCTGCCACATGGGCTGCGGTGGAGCTCCCTGTGAGGCCACGAAGCGTGTAAAGGGTATGCCGACAAGAATCGCGTAGACGCAGGTACTCCCTGCCGCTGGGGTCTTCGGTGGAGCTCCCGATGGGGCCGCGAAGCGGGTGGGGGCCGTATCGAAACTGGTGTAACGTGCGCATGTAAATATTGCCATTGGGGCCTTCGGTGGAACTCAATGCAGTTGCGGTTGCGCCCTTTGCTGATACCCTCGCAGCCAGGCCAGGCGTCTGGGGCGAAGTGCCAGCTGGCTTGCAGAACAGCTAAAAGCGCAGGTTATTCAAGGAATAGAGGGTGGTACCGATGCGAAAATGAAAATGAGTGTGAACGTGCGTCCACACCATACTATGCGCACGTTCCGTGGATCGCGAACTGGGATCGCTCCCAACTCCGCTACTACTTGGAATTGCAGGGGGGGAAATTGTGCGGGGTTGCAGTGTTTATACTCTCCGTAAAAGAAAAAGAGAGAGAAAGAAATAGAGAGAGAGAGAGAGCGAGAAGCATGCGCCGGTGCTTGGGCCAAATAGCGGCGGGCCCTTTTTCTAGTGGGGAAGGTTGGAGGACGTAGAAGGCAGGAGGTAGGGGGAGGAAGCGGGGAAGTTCGAAGAGGCCGGAAGTGGGAGGATGACGACCTGCTCCCCCCCCGAAAAGACGGGCGAGGGGAGCGGAAAAACGGCTCCTCGCGAAGGCGTAGTCCTTGTAGCTGGCGGCTTTGGGCGCGCGAGGAGCCTGCGGCTGGCCAGGTTTCCCCTCGCCCTCCCCGACATCCCCTTCCAAGGAGGAGGATAGTGGCAGGAGGACCGAGGCATTTGAATGTGTTGTCCTGGATTCCCCCCGAACAGCTTGTCTGTAAACGTCACAACCTCGTCTTTGTCAGGGGGGTGCAATAACCGAAACATTGCCGGGACATCTGCCCGAGTCAGAACGACTTTCTTGGTTCGAAACCAAAGCGCTCGTCAATGGTTGTCACAAGTTCGGTCGCATACCCATGGTCGGAGGAAGTAGGTAGAAACATTAAAGAGGAAGGCGTTGAACATATATTGGGTTCCGTCCGCCCCCAAGGGAGGACGGAAAAGGTGAGGCCACTCGATCATTGAAGTAGAAAGGCGCTGAAAGTATATTGTAATTTGGGCATCCAGAAATACCTTTTTCAACGACCGATGGGTAATGTGTTCGGTCACAACTTCGGGCACGGGCTCGGCTGACAGGGGCTGGGCGCCATGACCAAAGCGTCCCATCTGAACTAAGAACATCTGGAAACAAAACAAAACGCGAACACACTGCCGCCCGAATGCCGTGCCGTGCTGTGCCCGCCCCGTGCCTACAACCCAAAATGCAAACATGCCGTTCGCGTGCCGTGCCGTTTCCGCGCCGTGCCCAAAACCCAGAATGCGGGAAACTGTGCCGAACCATGCCAACGATGGTGCATGTAAGAGCCGTGATGCAAACATTTACGGCGAAGTGCCGTGTCGTACCTTGCCCAGAAAAAAAACCCAAATGCGAAAAGTGTGAAATGGAATGCTCTGCCGTGCCTCAGGCCAGGAAAACGAAACATGTGCGATGCCGGTGTCGTGCTTTGCCCGTGCCGCACCTAGAACCCAGAATGTGAAACATGTGCCGTGCCCGCGCTGCACCTAAAGCCCATACTTTGAAACATGTGCTGTGCCGTACCGTGCCCGTGGCTGAAACCCACAACACGGGGAAAACGCCGTGTCGCGTCACCGCCTGGAACCCAAAATGTTCTGCCGTGCCGCGCCCGTGCTGTGCCTAAAAACCCAAGACTGCAAACAAGTTTCCGATCCGCGCTATGCAATGCCGTACCAACGCCGTGCCTAAAATCCATACTACGAAACATGTGCCGTGCGGTGCAGACAACCCAGAGTGCAAAACATACATCATGCCCGCGCTGTGCCTAAAACCCCAACGCGAAACATGCGCTGTGCTGTACCATTGCCGTGCCGTCCCGGAAAACCAGAATGCGAAACATGTTCCATCCGATGCCGTGCCCGTGCACAAAAAAACATAATGTGAAACAAATGCCGTGCCTTGACGTGCCCGCGCCGTGCCCAAAATCCAGAATGCGGGAAATATGCTGTGCCGTGCCATGTCCGTGCACTGCGACAAATGTGCCTGGCCGTGCCGTGTGCGCGCTGCGCCTAGAACTCAGAACGCAAACCATGGACCGTGCCGTGCCTGTGCGGTGCCAGACTTCAGGCACCATGTGCCTTCTCATGCAGCGTTGATGTTTAGGGTCTCTTTGCCAGTATAACTCTGAGCCTCCAGCCCTCCAGGCAGAGGCGTCTGGGGGCCTCCAGGGCCCTCTGGTGGCCTACGGGGATTGTCTGCTCCCATCCTCCCGTCCTGTTGGACGTTGCACGCGTATCCACCAGATGTGGTACAATGCCCAGTGCTGTCTGGTAGGCTCTCTGTAGGTTTTCTAAGAAAGATCCCCCCTTACCCATGTAGTGCTTCATGCATGGCCCCCCCCTCCTGAGGCCCTGATCCTTCGTAGCAAGCAGGTGGGTCCGCGCTCCCAAGGCCACGACCCCTCGTAACAAACTTTGGATCCACGCTCACGAGCTTCCAAGACGGCCGAGGCAAGCCAGCACCGCCAAGATCCAAGATGGCCCAGGTTGCCTCCAAGGCAGCCCAAGATGGCCCCAAGGCGATCCAAGAGAATGGCCGCAAGACGGCCCAAGATGGCATAACAAAACAACCCAACAGGGCCACAATAGAAACCCAGTAGGTCCCGAGGGAGCCAAAGTTCGCCGACCACTCGGGGCTCCTGGGCGTGTGAGATACTTGTCCCTCCTTGAACCCTGCCCCGATGAGCACGGTCCGGCCGATACAGTCGGACTTCATTTGACAGGACACGCGAGAGGACAAGACCCTTCCGAGGGCCACACCGCCATAGGAGTGTAAGAAGGCACGTGTCGCGAGGCCCGGGACACAAGGGTACCCTTGAGCTGGCAGGGTCGACCTACTCATCTAGGCCGACTGTAGGGTGAGGGGGGGTGGCGAGGAAACGTGCGGGCGGACTCGTCTGACCCAGAGAAGCTCCCAGGCGCACTGGCCCCGTGTCTGGTCGAGCAGGGGCGTGCCTCCCGTCCTGGTCTGCTTGGGCGTCTGCTACGACTCGTCCCACAATCGACCTGTGGGGACCCGAATTCTCGGAGATAGACTTGGTCCGCGTAAGGCCCTGTCTGGTGTCCCCAAGTGTGATCTGGGGAAACCCTGAGCAGCGTGACCCGGGATGCCTCCTGTTTCAGGGACAGATTGGACCGGGCAGAATGAGGGCTGGGAGCACTCGCGTTGAGTTCAATATGGGGCAACTCCGGCGCGAAAACGGGAGTCCCCCTAGAGAACTCCCATCTGAGATCCGAGTAGATGAGGTCGGAGGATCGCGCCACATCGCCGATGCATCACCCATGCATCGGCGATGCATCGCCGACGTCGGCGATGGCTCCACATCGAGTCGCACCGCCGATGCATCGGCGATGCGGCGCGATCCTCCGAACCCATCTGCTCTGACCCCACGTGGGAGGCCCAGAGAATCATATATCATCCCTGACCACCCCCTGCCCTGATAACTCCGGGGGAACAAACAATGACAGATGCATAAAACCTCAGAGGCCCGCGCGGCTTCCTCGCCTCCGGCGCCTCTCGGACCTCGGTGCTTTCAGATCTATCTCATTGTTTGCTCCCCTACCCCTAACCTTCGCTTTCCTTCTTTCGCCGCCCATGCCTCCTCCTCATTCATTACCCCCTCCTTGCCGCACCCTCCCCCCCATACTCCTCGTCAACCTTGCTCTCCCTCGTCCTCCAGTCGTTATCGCCCTGATCTCCCGCCCCTTCCTCGGGGCTCGGGGATCCGGCGAGCCCGCCCCCTCTCCGCGGGCGCGGGGGAGACAGCCTGCAGCTGGCCGGCCTGGCTCCCCGGCAAGGCCAGCAGGCCCGAGGCGCCCGGCGCCGCCCTGGGCGCCGCCGGGGGCGCGATGGCTCCCACGCGCCGCGCGCTGTCCTGGAGGGGGGGGTGGAAGTCGGAGGGAGGAGGAGGAGGATCGAGGAGGAGAAGGAAGAGGAGGATCGAGGAGGAGGATCGAGGAGGGAAAGGAGGAGGATCGAGGTGGAGCAGGAGGTGGAGCAGGAGGAGCGCACGTAACTCATGAGGGCATGGTTACGTCATCGACTGGCGCAGATGGCCAGCTTAGTGGCACGCAAGAGCCTCAGGTGTGCCTCAAGGTCGCCACAACGTGAGGGCGAGGCCTCATGCTCTGCTTTGAGCTTGTGGTAGAAGTGACAACCTAGCACGACTAGGCGATGAGTGGTCTCTCTCTTTTTCTTTTTCTTTTTTTTTTTTCTCTCTCTCTCTCTCTCTCTCTCTCGGAGGAGGAGGAGGAGGAGGAGGAGGAGGAGGAGGAGGAGCAGGAGGAGGAAAAGGATCGAGGAGGAGGAGGAGGAGCGGGAGGAGACGACGTACCCATTGCGGATAGTCCAGCTTTTGGAGGGTTCCAGCAGGGTGGCGCTCGGGGCCTTTTTCGGTTTTCCGCGGGGCGTCGCGCCCATTTGCCACTTACGCCACCTGCACAGCCCTCCAAGCCGCGACCACCCGATGCTGAAAAAGGAGAGGCACGAGGTGAGCGCGCCAAGCCGCCGCGAGAGTAGCCAAGCACGAGCGCGAGGCGGGAGAAATTCTCGACTGCACCTTTGCGACAAGCCACCACCGCGCTTGCTCGCGGGAGGCGAAGGCAGAGGGCACAGCGCGAAATGGCCAGGACGACGCGGAGTGGCCTGCCCAGGAGAGGCCAGGCCTGGGCCCACAACGCCCCAGGTGAAGACACGCTGATTATATGAGGCGGCCGCACTCGGAACACCTATAAGCAGGACCCCTGCGAGATCGCAAGGGACGAGAGAAGACAACGGCAGATAGAAAGGCAGCCTCACACTTGCGAGGAAATGGGTGCAGACTGCCTCCAGTGAGAGAGAGAGAGAGAGAGAAAAAGAGAAAGAGAGAAAGAGAGAGAGAGAGAGACAGGACGAGAGAGAGAGACGCAAGAAAAGATCGCACAAGGACGCCGCCAACACCAAAACAATTGGGAAGGTCATGGCCCACCCGCCGTGGGAGGGGAGAGGGGGAGGAGGAGGAGGAGGAGGAGGAGGAGGAGGAGGAGGAGGAGGAGGAAAAGGAGGAGGCGCTGCGCGAAATCGCCGGGGCGACGTGAGGGGGCCAACCCAAGAGAGGACAGGCCTGGGCCCTCAGCGCCCCATGTGAGAAAACACGCAGCGAACTATAATGAGGCGACCGTACTCGGAGCACCTCTATGTGGGAACCCTGCGAGATCGAAACGGGCAGAAAAAGAAGACATCGACAGAAAGAGAGGCACTCCCAACATACTGCCTCCAGTGGGAGTGAGAGAGTCGCAGGCGGAGGGCGCACGAGGACGCCGCACAAACGACGGACCAGGCACGAACGCAAGGCGGGATAAATCCTCTTCCGCTCTATCGCGACCTTCGCTGCTCCTCTAATGCCATATGCCCGCACCAGCGACATCGGTTCGCGCTGAGCAAAGTCCTCCGGTGTGCGATGCATGCGAGAAGCGAGAGCCACGGCCTGCAGGAATTCTTCGCGCGAGATTTCCGATCCCCACCGCCCGTAGTCGTCCGCCCACCCAATCCCAGCAGCGTGAGCGGCGAGGCTGCAACATGTCTCCTCCCCCATGCGTGATGCGTTGCCATCTGATGAAATTTGCGCGGGCATCGCAAGCAGAGGGCAATCTCAGCTGGCTTAGTACAGCCCCGAATGCATGACGTGGGCGGTGCGCCGATATGCAGACGGCGCGCGGCCGTCCACGCACCGCAGAGAGTTTTAATGATGCCCCACTCCCATGTTGGCTTGAGACTCGGGAAGGCAGGTCTTGCTGTGTTCCCACCGCCCAGCCACCGACCTCCGCCCCCCCAGGGATAGAGACCTGCCATGCGAGGAGACGCTTACGCAACGTTGTGGCGAAGGAGCCTGGGAAGGCCAGGGGGAGAGGTGAACAGGCAGAAGCGCGTTGCGGGCGCGGCGCGCGCCCCCCCTGCAGCGCAAGCGCCGCGTGCGCGCGAGCTGCGCTGAAAGCGCTCTGCCAACCTGTCGGCTGATGAGGTGCGGCGGAGGTAAGCGCGCCCCCATCCATGAACTGTGCAATCGAGAACGGCCGCTTCCAGCAGGGCGCCGACCATTTGTCCTGCCTAAAGCGAAGGATGATGGTGGAGTCTTGGGCGCGCCCCTTTTTTCGCGCAGCGCCTCCTGCCGCGCGTGGCTCATAATTCGGAAAGGTGCGCGCCGGCTACTGGCCCACCCACGCAGAGCAACTGACGACGGTGCGACAGACAGATATTCGGTTGGCGAATTCAAATCCGCAAGGCTGGGCTGTTCGGCGGGAACCTGAGCAACTTATGCTAGGCCTGGTGCTCGAGCTTCCGAACCGCGGCAGGGGCGGGGAGAAGCTGGGCAAGATGCGAGAGAGTGGACCGGGCAATGGAGTTAGACAGAAGCGAAAGAACCTTCGGAGCAGCACCTGCATGGGGAAGGGCTATGGCACGGGACCACCACTTCTCAGCTGCCTGAGCCCAAATAATGCTCAACGTGGCCGCTGGTCACATCACCACCCCAAGGTAAGGTGGTGTGGCCTGAAATATTGAAATCACTCCACTGTTGGATCCATCGACGCAACTCGCTTCGGACCCTGGTCTGGATTTACACCGTGCACTCGGCTCGGAACCAGAGCGCATTTTGCCCCCTGGAGTTCGAATGGGGCGAGGCGTTCGGTGCCCATAGCAACCCGAGCGACGCTAACCAGGTCACCAGGCGAAGCATCGCCATTCCGACGTCGCCAGCACAACCCCCAAGAGACCCCTTGCGATGCCTCGCCCGGGGGAGCTGGAAGGCTGCAAGCAGGAGTCGGAGAATGGGGTACATGGCGAGGGCCCAGAGAGACACCGACAGAGGGCAGCCCCGGAAGCCCCCCCCCCCACAGAAGTGAAATACAAAGACCGACCGGTTTTAGATCCGAGCAAACCCTCGGGGCAAGAAATACAAGGCACGAGTGAAATTAAGGGCCCCATGTGGGGTGCCAAACCGGCTCAGAATCTCGAACATCCACTGGTGGCCGAGGCTCGGCAATGCCGCCCCCGCGTCGCAGGTGGCGAACACGGGGAGGTCCGCCTCGACATCGGGGGCAGTGCTAGCCTGGCGGGCCGCGGAGTCCAGGCGGACGATGTTCGACAGGTAATTGCATCCCGGGACAAAGCATTGCTGGGCCTCGTGGGCGCGCTCTCGGGCAACCTGACGGGGCTGGAACTGAGTGGCAGACGCCAGGAGCATTGCGTCGATGATTCGCAGACTAAGGGGCCTGACCAAGCCAGGGCTTCGGATGCAACCTCGGGCATCTTTAGCCCCCCCTTCGGGTGGGGTGGCGAAGAGGCAATCGTTGAGCTCCAGCGGAGGCGCGTGGCCTCCGTGCAGATGGCACATAAGACGACGGAGTACAGTGATCTGGTCGGGATGCGCTTGCCAAGCTGAGCAAGGGAGTTGATCGGGCCCAGGGGCCGAGCGTTTAGCATGGAGAAGAGCGCGCCGTAGATCGGCTTCAGAGGGCGACCGAAGACGTAGCTGGGGTAGTTCGGGGGCAGCTCCCTCAAGAGCCTGGTCGCCACTTGTTTTTCCCCCGAAAATCGGCCTCCGATGGGCGTCGAACTGAACTGCTATCCCGTCGGGGCCTCGGGTGACACAATGGGGCTCGCGGCGACCTTCGGGGCGAATGCCCGCCAAAACCAGACGACGAGCCTCGGGGGTCCACAGGTTTGACCGGCGCTTGTGCGCGCGGGCTGCGCGCCGCTGGCCTCGCTGGAGCTGCGCGACCCCATCCGAGACGTTGAGGAAGCGGGCGCCGCCCTCCGTCGCGGCGCGCAGCCTCTGGGCAGTGGAGATGTCGTTGCGCCAGACGCAGCGGGAGATAGCGCAGAGGGTGATGACTGTCCTCCCTATCCCCAAAGATCTTTGACTGAAGTCGGTAGCCGTTGCAGCGCGTCTCGAACCTGTCGAGCTGGTCCAATCACGAAGTCCTTCATGCATCTCCATAGGCAGATCACTGGAATTTGGCTCAGCTGCGCAGCGCCCAGAAACTGCTGAATAATCTTTCCATTTGGGGAATTTCGACATACTTGTTCAGGAATGCTGCCTTGCTCATCGCGTCGAGCACGATCGCGACGATGTGCGGTGAGCGGGGTGTGATCACTGAGCCAGGAGTATGAGGTGGCGGCCGCGTCAATATCAACCTCCACGAAAACGCCGATGTCCAGCGAGTAGTTCGAAGGGGGCACCAATGAGGACGCGGGCGAGCGTTGCCGCCGCTGCAGTATCCCTGGAGAAGTGAGTCGGGCAATCAGTAGAGATCTCAGTGACCATTGCAAACAGACGCCCCAGAAATCGCCGAAGAGGTTGGCCATGCACATCTGGAGAAGGGCGGAAAATAACAAATCTTGCTTGGCGCCGTCAACGTAGCTGCGTGTGGGCCCAGTCTTGACATTGCAATTGGCCGCTGCGATAACGGCGCGCCTCGCAGGATCCTGCGGATTTCATGCCGGGCCCTTCCAGACTGGCTGCGTCCTTCTCAAAGTTATGCGCGCTGAACACTCGCAACATCCAATTGTCCTGCGCGTTGGCAATAGTCAGCCGGGGGCAGACAGTCGACGCCGGAACCGAGAACTATTTGTTTCAGACAAATTAGACTTGCGATTCGGGCCACCGCGAGCCCGCCCCGGCCTTCGGAATCGCGGGGGGGGCGGGGGCGGGGAAGGGAATCGTCGCGCAGCGCGCTGGAGGAGGGCCGGTGCGCCAAAAAAAAAAAAAACACAGAACAATAACAAAACAAAAACGCACGAGCGGCGAAGTTGGCAGGCGTTCTCGGGAGAGGGGGGGGGCCAGTCAAAAGCATGCGGCTTCCTCGATGACCCACCCCCCCACTCCATCGCCGCCGTCATCCGCGCCTCCCCCCGCCCGCTTCCCCCCCCCCCCCCCCCAGTCTCTCCCCGCCCCCCCGCCCGCCCCCTGCCCGCCCCTGGTCGCGCCCCTGACGCTCTGCAAGCCTGAGGCCCGCGTCCGGCGATTCCGATTCCACCACTTACCCCCCGCGCCGGGTGGGGGCGCGGCTGCCCTGCGCGGCCAGGGCTCGAGAACGCGGCGCCCTCTCAACTCCGGCCCGCAGACCCTGGCAATCTTCCGAAGTCGTCGAAAGGCCTCGCTCCGCCCGCCGTTCCAGCGGGGGCCTCGGTGCCGGCGCCGGCTTCCCTGCGATGGCAGGGGCGAAAAGCCGGCGCCAGCACCGAGATCCCACTGGGAAAATTCGGGGGCCTGTCCCCGCGGGGGCATAGCGGCCCAGCGGAGCCCGCAAAACGCGAGGCGGCTCGCGCTGCTCACCGAATTCACAGGCCATGGGGCCCGCATTATAACAACGCCCCACGTCGGGGATCTTCTGACCCAGGTCCATCCAGACCCGGGTCAGCAGGAAACCAAAAACTGCAATGCAGGACAAAAAACTGCAACGCAGATCTTCGCCAACTCGGGTCAGCCAATATGCGCGGCCGCCTCGCGGCCACGAGCGGCTCGCTAACCCGGGTCAGCCAGAAAGGGTCTTCGCAGGATCCTGCAGGATCTGGCGCCCTGGCTGACCCCCGTTTGCATTGACCCCCGTCTCGGGGCCCCCGACCATGGGGCCCGCGGCGACCCCCAGGCCCGCGGGGCCGCCGTGGCCCGCGGGGTTCGCGAGGCCCAGACACCCGACGATGCCCCGACGACTCAAGGGGCCTATGGGGGCCGCGCGGCTCGCCGGGCTCGCGCGGCGCATGAATGCGCCCATGTGGCCAAGGAAACCTTTTCTGGGATTGAGGGTTCATGGGGCTGCCGAGGTTCGCGCGGCCGACGGGCTCAGCAGAAGCTCTAAAATGTCCTTCTCCAGAGGGGGCCTTGGCGTCGGCGTCGGGCCCGGTGCCCCGAGTCGGCGGGGCAGCGAGCCGAGGGCGCAAGATGATGCTGAAAGTGGGCATGAGGGTCGCCCTGATCTCGATGACGCATCGGAATATGAAAGCCAGTGCCGCCAGACTTCTGAGACAAGCGCTTGCACCGTGCAGGGGCACGGGCATGTAGCCGACGCTGTCTGGAGCTGGCCAGACGCCCCTCAACATTCATGCGAAAGAATCGCGGCGCCCGTGGGCGCGATCGAAGCGAGCTCATTGAGCTTGGCCTTCCTCCGGTGTACTTTGTAACAAAGAAGACTGCGTGCGTTCCATCGTATCACCGTACCATTGCGACGCCTGTCCTCCGACGTCCAGGGTGACCGCCTTCTGCAAAATAGACCGCGTCGACGTATCCACGCTAAAGAATACCTGCCTTGACGCAGCCACCAGCGGTTCTTCGTCAATATTGAAGCGCGCAAGGATAGTGGGGCCCCGGCCCTTGCACCTGGACCACCACGAGCGGGATCGAACCAATGGTGATGATGCCCTTGGGTCTCTGCGCGCCAACGTTGTAAGCCGCGTAGGCATCTTGTACAGTGCGTTGCGGCCGTTTGGTGTAGTTCAAACCTGACCTGCTTGGGGCACTTGTCGACATTGACGTAGACTGGCACGTTGACTCCTCCAGTCCTGCATGTTTTGAAACCGGCCGAAGTCTTGAGGACTTCCGAGAATGCCATGGCGCGCGCAGGACTGCCGCTCCTCCTTGAACTTCTAAGTGGAATCTTCGTTGGGGGACGTCTCCGTGTAGTTGAAGTTGGCATGGTGGGACACCAGAAGCAATAGTTCAATCAGCAAGCGCCGCATTGATGGCCACTAGTGCCATTGCCCTGGGGGCACCGGTACTGAATGCTCACGGATCAAGGGCTCGCTCCCGCTCTGCAAGTTTATGCGCTTCAAACGGCACTGCAGCGTCTGCCATGGCCAAGGTCTGCTCCATCGCCCGTAGTTGTTGTCGCATGCGATGCTGGCCTGCTCCCACACGCTCTGCTCGCGTCTGAAGTTCGTGGGCGCTTCTGTCGTGCATTTCGATGTGGGCGGCGTGCTGCCTGCTGACAGCCATGAAATCGTGCACCTGCGCGTTGAAAGCCTTCTGCTGCTGCTCGATAAGAGTGCTCGCCGTTGCTGTAAGCTGAGCCGTTGCCGACGCGATCTGTGTTTTTGCCCATCTTCGCCAGCTCGGATGTATCCTTCCTTCGACGTCCGTAGGCAGGAGACTGACGTCTACCAACGTCGCTTGATGACCGAGACTCGTCCCACTTGTGGCCATGATGTCCGTGTGAAAGAGTCGCTGCGGTCTGTAACCAACTGTACGCGCCGATCCGAATCCAGCGCGGCGTACTGCTGGTGGAAGGGGTGGGCGCAAATTGAAAATCGAGGCAAGGAAAGTCGCCGACAACTGAAACAACACGAACATAATAAGGATGCTGTAGAGACCCGCTACGCGCCGCGCGCCGCAGGACTGGGAAAAATTGAACGCCTGTCGTGGAACAGGGTTTCAATATGGATGAAATCTTGAATGCTGGAGATGAAACTGGGAGCCTGCCCCGCTGAGGCAGTGAAATGGAAACCATTTTGGCCTTGAGCCAACATGGCTACGAAAGAGGAGCGGGAGGAGGAGGAGGAGGAGGAAGAGGAGGAGGAGGGGTGGCAACGTTGACATTGACGCCGATGCAGACATTGCCCAAGGCCCAGGAGGAGGAGGAAACGAAGGATGCTTAGAAAGATGTGGCTCAGGAGCGCCTTATCTCCATTGCTAGGGCCAGAGGCCTGGTATATTACCTTGCTGGCACGCGAGGACAGGACATGTCCTGCTCGAGTGCGACTGGTCAGCTTGAACCTCGTGCCTGATGGGGGCAGTCAGGGGGATAACATTTTGGAGGAGGAGGATGAGGAGGGGCAAGAGGAGGACTGAAGTTTGGGATGTCGGAGTTCTTTTCGAGTCTCTTGGGACGCTACTGTCGCAGCGCATGGACTGCCCTCGAGATTATGGTGAGAACCCGTCCCCATGGGTCTGGGGGACTGTCAGACCCCCGATGATGGAATCCGCAGACATGCTGCGGGACTATGGGGAGTAATTTCAATTGGGCGTTCGGAGAGGGGGGACTGGCTGCGCTCCCTAACCCCAGCTTGTGCTAACCCCATCCTCTGCGATTCCCCGACAGAGGGTTATGGCCGCGTGTGCTCATACAAGCCTTCCGAATGGGGTCCTAATAGATGGGGTCGGAGGATTGCGCCGCATCGCCGACGTCGGCGATGCATCGCCGAAGTCGGCATGAAGAACATCGGGCTCCACATCGAGACGCATTGCCGATGCATCGGCAATGTGGCGCGATCCTCCGACCTCATCTACTCAGACCCCATCTGGGAGGCCTAGAGATAAAAGGTTCTGGCCGTGTGTGGTCACAATGCTGCGATTCTGTCGTGGCGTCGGAACTCACGGGAACCTGCTTCGTGGACGGCAGGAATGGAGCCGCCACACTCTGGGCCTCGAGCCCTCGAGACCTCGGTCCTCGAAGACCCAGGGTCTACGATGTAGATGTGTGGGCGCTGTTGCTTCCCAGATGGGGACATCTGACGTCAGGGGGCCTCTTGGAGCCTCTGCGACCTCTGGGGACCCACGAGGCACAGCCAAAACCTTACCATCAAGAGCACTGAACAAGGGACGAACCACATCTGTGACCCTGGGTTGCGCCTGGATGTGCGCGGAACGCGGGAAACCCATGAGGAAGTCAAAACAACTCTTGTTACAGTGCTCTGCCCCGTGTGTCTCTTGTGCACGCGCGTTTGCGCGCGCACGCGCAAGAGTACCGTACTGCAGGTTCGTGCCGGGTCGACCCTGGCGTTGGTTCCTGACACCGCGCTGGATCGTTCAACCTTGAACGATCGGCCGCTGCCGCAACGTCCGATCGTTCAACATCGATCGATTCTGGGCCGCCGCCGGCGCTCAACCTTGAACGTCGGCGGCGGGGTCGCCGCCGGTCGACACGACGCAAACCTACCGTAACTGTTGCGCGCGCCTCGCCGACCGTCGCGCGCGGACCAACCACTGTCGCGTGGCCGCCGAGCTCACGCGGGCCATGTCCTTGGAGGACGCGAAGGCGGCGTAGGGCACCAGGTCCGTGGCGGCGTGGTTGCAGTCGAACCAGATGACGCCTGCGGACGGGGCGCAACAACGGGCGCGTTCACAACTCGAGCGCCCCTGCGAGCCAGGCAGGCGAAATTATTTACTGAACCCTCCGCGGGGATGACTACAACCGCTGCGCGTCATAATGGGCGCAAGGTTCGGGTGCAAGACCCCAAGGCTTCTAAATCGTATCTCGCCACGATGGTACTCATCCATGGGGCAACGCCACAAAAACCGGCAAAAGGTAGTGCAATGATGCAAGGATGCAATGGCACCCTTGACCACAATAACTCGTCAATGCTATTCGCGGCGCGTCCGGCCCTCGCCGGGCAGAATCCTACTGCTGTCCCGTTCCCAGGAGGCGCCGCGGCCTGCTTCCAGCACGGCGGGCCCGCCATGCACCGTGAGCCACGCCGCGACGTCGTTGGCCTTGCTGCCGAAAACTGGGTGGTCCTCCTTCAGATCAGGTGGGCAGGGTCACTGACTACCAGGGGAAAGGGGTGGCAAGAACCTGATCATGGTCATCACGAAAATGAGTTTGATGGCGACCACGATGGTGATAATGATTGTGAAAATACTGGTGATGATGCCAGCAATGAGAATAGTGATGATGATGCTGATGATGCTGGTGATGATGACGATGGTGATGTCGATGGCGAATGGTGACGTTGATGATTCAGGTGGCGATGCTGCCGATGTTGGTGATGATGGTTATGATGACCTGGACCTCGGAACGAAACGGATCCCCAGGCGGCCAGCTCGCGCTAACTACCTACAACGATCGGCCGCCACTATCGACGGCCACAACGCTCGCTACTCAAAAAAAGGTCGCCGTGACCAGCTGGCGCGCGATCGCGCCCGGGTGAAAGGGCCAGGCCGTTGCCGCCACCAAAGGCGGCAGGAGGGGCTCGAACCACTCTCTTCACAACGAGAAAACAAAGGACCTCCCAGAGGTCACCGTTAACGTTGAATTCCCCCTGACCAGCACGCACTTTTTACTCCGTCGGCGGTGTGATACCATAGTCAGGATAGAACATTCGCTGGCGCAGTGCGCCCACCATCGTGGATGGGGGCCAAACTGAAAACGGCGCGGACGAAGGATACCCAAACCGCTCCGCCCCGGGAAAGCCGCCACGCGCCTTCTGGGCTTGGCGTTCCAAGCGAGCGAGTTGTCCAGCTCAAACGTGTCAAACGTGTCCGGCAAGTCGCGGAGGGGATCGCCCGCCTCCGCGGGTGCGAGGGCGGCGAACAAGACATCTCCCTTACGAGGCTGACCCTTGTTGCTGACAGGCAGCACCTCCTTGGCTCCCCAAAGCTCCTCCCGCCACTTTGAATTGCACTCCCCCCAGGCGTCCTGCGCGCGCCGCCAGGTGCATTTCCGAGGCTCGCCCTCGCAAAGTCGGATCGGCGCGCCCGCGGCCTCCAACGGCTCGCCGCGTTCCCGGCCGCGCGCCGAGCACGCCGCCCAGATGCAATCCCAAGCCTGCTCGGCCCACCTGAGCATGTCAGCGGGCTGCCTGGGGCGCGCCTCCGTCTAGAACTCCGTCGGCAGCATGCAGTCGTCGAGCAGCTCCTCTGGACACGCGGCCCAATCCGACGCGCCCAAAGACCAGCTTGCCATCGCGTTCGCCGACTGGCCCTCACCCCCGCGCTATCCGATAGTTCGCGAGGGCAAGCCGCCTGCGGCGCTTGTAGAGGGCGACCGAATGCTTCGCAATGCGGGGCAGCGCCGCCACGAGAGAGCGCCAAGTAGCCGGGCCAGACGAACCTTGGAGCATCCGCAGCCCCTAGCCGCCAACGCTTTCAAGTCGTCCTCCTTGGCAATCGACTGGAGGGCGCCAGCGCGCCCTGCCTTCCCCCCCTCCTCCTCGCGCTTGTTCCCGACTCCCAGGCTGCGCGACGTCGGCCAGCAAGGGGGCGGCGGCGCCTCTCCCGATGGGGGCCTGCTCCGTCGCCCTGGCCACCAGACCTCCTCGGTGCCTCGGCGATCGCGCCCTCCGCGCCCTCCCTGTCGGAGCTGGTTCTCGCCCTTGGCCCGCGACCGCGGCCCGGCGGGCCCGGCGGCGCACGCGGCGGCGAGGGGCGGCCGATGCCCGGCGGCCCTGCCAGCGGGGCCGCTGACCGCGCCATAAGCCTCGCGGTGCCACCGCGGCCGGGGCCGGGCAGGCACCGCCACGCCTGCCCCGCCTCCGAAGCAATCCCTCCTGGGGGGGTCGGCCGGCGGGGGCAGCGGCGGGGCGGCTCCGCCGCGGGCGCTCTCGAGGCGGCCGTCCAGCTCTCCTCGCGCACCGCCGCGCGGCTTACTCCTCGCGCTCGTTGACGATCTCTCCCCAATTCCCCGGGGCCCTCAACTCCTGCGTTTCCGCGAAGCTGCCGCGCTCGAGCCGGAGGGCCGCCGGCGACCGCCCTCCCCGATGGCGCTGCGAGCCTCGCCCAGGTCGTCAAAGCACCCCGCCGGGCGAAGCCTCTCGGCGACGTCTCGAAGGTGCGCGATGAGGAGCGCACCCCCCCGTTGACCACCTCTGCGGGCGCTCGACACCCCGCGTCGCGGGCCCCTTGCGACCCCGCGTCCCGGCCGCCGCCTGCCCGCGGGAGGTCCACCTGCAGAGCCCTGGGCGGCCTCCTCGCTCCTCCTCGCCGGCCCTCGTTGCTCCTCGGCCACCCCGCGGACCGCCGCGCGGGGCTGGTCGCCGGGCGCTGGCGCGCCAGAGTCGTCGCGGCACGGGCGGAGCGAAACCGACCAAGCGCGCGCGCCCGACTCGGGCGCGCATCTTGACGCCCCGATTCGCCCAACACGCGCTGCTGCGCGGCCAACAGGGGTCGGCCGCGCAAGCGCTGCCCCGGAGGTTCGACCGCCCCCCGCCACCCCGCTGCAGCTGCGCAGAATCGCCCTGTGCCCTGCCCCAGCACCCCTCCGTGGTCAGGAGGTAGATCTTGCCCCCCTCCTGGTAGAGCAACTCGTGGGCCGCGCGAGTGAACCACTTGGCATCCTCGAGCTCGGACCCCGACTCCGAGCTGGCGCCCCTGACCAACTCCGCTGGAGAATCCGAAGCTGTCCCCCTCGAGCGGCAGCCCGTCCTCCCGCGGCGCCTAATGGCGCCGCGCACCTTGGCGCAGCACCGCAACCCTAGCGCGCCGCGTCCCATGCAGCAGGCGCACGTCATTGCCCCAGCAACCCGCGCGGCTTGGCGCGGAAGGCGGCGGGGCCGCGACCCGGGCCTCCAAGGTGGCGTCCGTCTCCTCGGCCACGTAGCCGTAGCACGGAACGTGGGCGGCGTGGTTCCCGCCGTCCGTGCAAGGTGCTCCCGGCACGTGTGGAGTGTCTCTCCTGCGACGCCTCCAGCAACATCCTCAACCTCCTCGATGCGAGGCCGAGGGCGGCGCTGCACTGCCGCGAGCGCCCCGACCGTTGGGGCTTCATCCCCGCCTTCAGGGGCGGGCGTTCCTAGCGTGTTGATGCGTCGCCGACCTCAATGGCCAGATGGCGCGCCTCGCTCTTAGCATCGCGCGCGCGCAGCTGCGCGTGGAATGCCTTGTCGGCAGAAGCCGAACAGCGACATCAGCGGGGATAGGGACATCCAAGAGACTTCACGACCAAGTAGCCCGAGGCTGTGATCATCAAGTGCAGTCCCCCTCCTGGCCACCCCCAGCACAAGTAAAATACCACCGGGCACGTAAGGCCAGTACTCCCCGAAGGCAATATTCCCAACCGTGGCGATCGCTCCTCGGATGAGGCCTCCGCCTCCCGCCCAGATGCGTCACCGCCCGTCGGTATCCCAATCGCCATGGTAGCCGCCGAGCCAACTGCCGATGACGGTGTAGCGCACATATTGCAAGCCCCACCAGCTCTCCTCGGACCCGCCTGCCTCCTCCTCTGGCCCATGCGGCGGCGGAGGTGGGCGGTGCCCATCGCGGCGTCGCGCGTGACCGCCCCCCTTTGGCGCCGCAGCCTCCTCGACCACTGACGTCCAGTCCTCTGGCGCGGCCACCTCGTCCTCGCGCCGTTGAGGTAGCAGGCCAACCCGGCCCTTGCCGCCCGATAGTTTCTCCAGGAGTGGCTTGGGCGGTGTCCTGCCTTCACCCGCGATTGGCCGCCCAGGGTCGCTGGGAACCTCCCGAAGGGGGCTCCGCGGCCGCCGGCCTCCCGCCCTGCCGGCGGGTCGGGGCCAGCAGCTCCGCGGCGCTCCCGTCCAACTCGTCGGCGCCTCCGGCTAGACCGCGCGCCATTTCGCACAAGCAGAAGCGTTCGTACTCGTCCCACGCCTGTGGGACCGCTGGCTAAACCCAACGCCCGATCCCTGCAGTTGCCGGAGCACCCAGGGTCATGGGCAGCGTCATGCCGCGATCCTGTCCTTCTCAGCCCAGCAAGTCTGCTCGGCGCTGTCACAGCACTCGGGGCGCAACTCGCTGACATCTGAACCAACGTTGCACTAGGCGCTGCTCCGCCGCCAGGCGCCGGCGCCTCCGCGCCCTCCTTTTGCCCGTAAGCCACAGGAGCCCCCAAAGGCGGACCCGGGCATTTGGGTCGCAACTTCGGCCTGCGAGCCCGCTACTCTGCCGCGAGCAGCACGGCGGGGCGCCGGCGCGCGCTTTGCGCCTCCGGGCCAGCACCAGGGCCATTTGAGGCCCTGGAGAAAACTTGACCCCAAATGGGCTGCGGAGAAGGACGACGCGGAGGAGACAGGAGAGGAGCACAGTCACCCCCAGCCCGTCGCAGCCACTTGAAACCTTACTTTCTGGTACGCCCGATCTCTCACATCCCCTCCCCCCCATCCCCCCCCTTCGCCCTCCTCGCCCCTCCTCCCTCCCCCGCCCTCCCTTGGATGCGTCCCCGCTCGAGCGCTCCCCCGGTCTCCGCGAGCTGCACCGCACCGCACCAAGCCAGGTACTCGTTGCGGAAGAGCTCGCACGCGTACCCCGACAGCACCGGCCGGTACGGTTCCTGTGGGCGGCGGCCTCCGTTCTCCTCCAACATCCCTCCTCTTCCTCCCTCACCCCTCTTCCTTTCGTGGAGCCCAAGGAAGTCTTTATCCGGTAAATCCAGGAGGGGATGCAGGTTGGCTGGAGTTGGGGGGGAAACGCATCGCGAGAATCCCGATGGCGCCAACCATGTCCTACCTCCACAAATAGTCCATATGAGTACTACTCTCCCCTCTCCCCCGAGATTCTGTGCGAACGGGGACCCGTTTGCCCCGCTTATTGTCATGTAGCGCACAAGATGTCAACAGTGGATCAGATGTAGGTCGGAACGCTTGTGATGTTGTGTGGTGTTCGCACTGAAGCGCTGGCGGCAAATCAGGATCGGTGATCAGCTCTCGTCGTAAGAGTGGCACTCTCGACCGAGCGCGGGCAACACTTCTGGATCCCAATCCGTCCTCGTCGTGGTCGCCCCCTCCTGTTCCCTCCTCCGCCTGTCCATTGTCCTCCTGCTCCTCCCGCTTCTCCTACTCCTGCTGCTGCTGTTGCTTCTCCTCCTCCTCTTTCTCCTCCGCCTTCCAAATCCCCCTCCCTCTTCCTGCTGCTCGTCCCACTGCTCATCCTCCTGCTCATTAGGCACCTCCTCCTCCTCCTCCATGCATGTGCATAACTCGTTTCGGTGCTTGCGCACAAAACGATTGCCATGACACCCGTCGGCGGATAGACAGAAGTCAACGCACTTGGGAGGCACAGGGGGAGGGGAAGGATGTCAGATACGGCGCGAGCGCGCCTCGCTGATCCTCCCCCCACTCCCTGCCTCTGCCTCCCGATACCTTTCGGCATCCCCCTGCTTCCCGCACACCTTCCCCCGCCCCGTCCCAAATCTGCACCCCTCTGTCCCTCCCTGTCCCTCCCTTCCTCCCTCCATCCCCCTCATGCCTCCTCACACCACACTCCTATCGCCTGCAGCTCCCGCGACCGCTCCGTCTCCCTCTCCTCATCCCTCCCCCTCTCCATCCCCCCTTCGCCTCCCCCTCCCCCTCCACTTTTGACAAAAGAGCAAACAACTGCCTAAACACAAACCTTCGGAACTCCGCGCGGATTTCTCGGATCTGCGCTGGGCCCCCTGGCGGCGCCTCGGGCGCCGCCCCTGGCGCGCTCGACGCGCCAGGGAGGGGGATCCGACGAGGAGCTCTGGAAATCTATGTTTGGGCAGTGAACCGCCGGTCCTCGGCATCTGCGATAGCCCCTCGTGCGGATGGACCGCTGGCCACGGTGCCTGGGAACGCCCGGAGGTCCTCGCTCCAGGGCCCCTCCTGCTGGGACGCCCACTGCTGCAGCTCGGCCAGCTGCGCGTCGTCAAGCAAGTTCGCCGTTGACACGTTGTGCCGGATCGTACCGCCAACGGAGATGCGGCGCCTTATGTCTCGGCGGCACACCCTGGGCGGAAACGAGCGGGGGCAAGCCTTCTCAGAAGGCGGCGGGGTATCTGAGAGGCCCTCCGGCTTTCTGAGAAGCCGTTTTTGTCTTCGGAGACGGCTTAGAAAGCTTCTCAGAAAGACCGAGACCTTCCGAGACTTCTGAGAACGCCCGCCCTCTCTGCATTCCCCCCTAGGCTCGCCGCCGAATGTCGTCGTCGCCCGAGTCCTGATCCGGTGCCTCAAGATAGTTAGTCGTCTCTTGGCCACATCCCCTGTCTGCAGGTGCACTGGCGGATGTCCCGGCGGGCGGAGTGATCGTTATCATGCTGGACGCGACACCTTGTGCCCAAACGGCAAAATGGGGAAGATAAGGTGTTAGTTTGTGATGGCGGCGGTCGTGTATTTTCTCAAAAAGAAGGCCGCCCCCCAAAAGCTCCATGATGCTTGAAAGGGAAAGCCACGAGGTATTCAAAAGAGTTCGAGAGGTCCCGGGGGGGCCTACCAACTGTCAATCGAAAATGCCTACTCAGAAGAACATAGTAACCGCGAGCTTGTCTTGGCAAGGCTCCAACATTGCTGCGGTGCCGACGAAGACAGCCAGTTCGACCCCCTCGGAACTGCAAGATTCTTCAGGATGGCCCGACGTCAGCAGATGCATCTAAGCTATCACCGACCAACACTGCTGTTCCAAGATGAATCCAGTAATGTCGAAGAGGTCGTTGCCACTTCAGACGATTTAAACGTTCCACCTTTTAATGTATCTTGACTGGTGGTCGACAAGACGGGTCGCCAACAAACTCGCTGCATCCACCTCTAGAAGTGAAACACCCGTTCCGCAAGAGAGACTTTCCCATATCGCTTAACTTGACTATGTCGGACTCGACACACAGGGAGGGACATGAGGAACCACTAACGTGCGTTCGAACACCACCTAGCTGAAATCATGGGACCTCGCATGATGAGCGTGGGTTTTCCCTGAAACGCATCAAAGTTATGCAACGATTGTACCTGGGGCCAACAGTGGCACGTAGCGCGAACGAACTCCCACTGGTCCTAGGAGTCAGTCAGGCGTGCCACGCGTGCCACGCGCAAGTCGCCACAACACATCTGGCGAAGTGTAGACACGGCCAAACATGTTCTACGAATCTACGGGGCTGTTCGCGCACAAAATAATGCCCGTGATGCATTGAAGTCCACGTTGCGCACGCATTACGAAACCCACACCCTGACAGCAGAAACACTACACACTGGCGGAAGACGACCACAAACAACACAGTTCCCACCATGCAATGCATATAACGTTGAACTGCACTGTGCGTACGGGAGACCATACGGGAAATAACATAAGGGGAATCACACGCGGAACATCGTAATCCGGGAAATAAACACGGGAAATAAGCCGGGAACACATACTGCAGACCGTACGGGTAATCAGACAGCACAGCATACGGGAGACCAGATGGGAGAGCGGAGACCATACGAAAGACCACACGTCAACTCAGACGGAAACCCATGTGGGAGAACGTACGGGATATCATACGAGAGGCCGTGAGCCCATACGGGAGAACATACGGGTGACCGTACGGGAGACCATACGGAGACCATACAGCAGGCCACACGGGAGACCATGCGGGTGACCATACGTAGGGAGACTTTGCAGGGAACCCATGCGGCAGACCATCAGGGCACCAAGCCGGGGGCCGGCAACGCCCCCCCCCCCGGCCCCAGGAGGCCATACCGCAGACCACACGGAGACCCATCGGGTCACCGATTTGGGGCCGGCAACGGCCCCCCCGACCCTTCCCACGAGCCATGGGGCCGAGCGGTCTTACAGAGTCCCGGGGGGCGTGGCTGCAGTGGGGTTCCGCGGTGCAGGGTAGGTAGGACATCGTGGTTACCACCACAGCTCTAAACAAACATTCGCCAAGCAAGCCGGGGACGCCACCCGAGCCGACCGTCAATAAGCAACATCGTGTCGTGAACCGTGGCCTGAAGGAGAAGGAGGATTAGGCCAGCGAGTGTTACAATTGTTGCCAGTGTTCTTGTCGTCGTCGACGTCGTCGTCGTCGTCGGCGGCGGCGCGGGTGGGTCGCGGCGGGATCGCGGCGCGGGCGAGTCAATGCCTCCCCCTTGTATCCGCAACTGTGGGTGGTCAGGTAGATAGAACCCTTCTGAACAAGCTGATAGGACGGTTGAGGAAAAGCATGCAACAGCTGAGCGATCATGCAAGCTTTGCGTTTTGAGCCTTTGCATGGGGTAAATCACGCCGACGCGACGATTACGGGACTTGGCCTCCCGCACACTGGCTCCCAACATTACGCGGTATGGAACTGAGGTTTCAAATGATCCATTGTCGTTGAAACGTCGGCGCGCGCATGTTGCTACGTGCCCCAGGCGCTCCCAACACCGCGGAAAGCATTCCAACGACTGTCATGTCACCCTTGGTTTGCACCTACTTCAGGCGAATCCTGGAAACCTATCCACACGCTGTGTTGGAACTCAAATCGGTAATCCAAATCGCACCTGACCGATAACGTAATACTAATTGACCTTCGCCAGAATGATTGCTGTGCTCGGCACTTGCCCGAAAAGTCTGCCCTCCATGGTCCCAGGCTGGCTTGTAGAGTTCCCTCGTGTCGCATACTGACCCGAACAATATGAGGATCAGGCAAACGCGCGGCGGCAAGCGTGGAACACGCGGCCGCCTGCTCGCACCCTCGCGTCGTCGGCCTCGCTCTCGTCGGCGTCCTTTCCCTGGTCCTCGCTCTACACCCCCCCTCACGACCCCCTCCCCCTTCTCTTCCCCCTCCCCCTCCCCCTCCTCCCACTCCTCCCCCTCCGCCTCCATCTCCTCGCCCCTCTCCTCTCCTCCTCCCCCGCGCCTCCCAGCGAGCACGTAAAAAGCCAACGAGGGGCCTGGCCGGCAGCGACGGCGCCCGCCCGCCGCGCGCGCGCCGCGCCCATCGCTGCGCCACTCGCGCCCCCCGGAGGCTCGCGCACGCCGCCCTGGTGGGGTTGCAAAGGGGCCTGCGGACCCTCCTCCTCTAGACAAGCGCGTGCAAGCGCGTGCCATTACCCGCAACGTAGCTACTCGCCAATGGCCTGGATCCGCCGCGGGAGATTCACGATCCATTACTTCGAGGAAAGCATGGTTTTTCTGACGTTTGCGAGTCGGCACTCCGCGAGTTGTGGAACGCGCCCGGTGATCTCCAGGAGGCAGGGACGGCCTGCGGACCTCCCCTCCTCCCTGTTCGCTCCTCCCTGTTCGCTCCTCCGAGGCCTCGGGCTCGTCGTCGTCATCGCCGCCGTCGCCGTCGCCGTCGTCCGTAGCCATTGTGGCCCAAGCGAGGCTGGCGTACGGGAGGCCCTCGCGCCAGTGCGCGCCCGCGGCAGGCGCTCGGCCGCGCGCCAGAGGCCTACGGACGGAAGGAGCGGGGCGGCGGCCTCCGCCCGAACACTGACCCGACGCCTGCGCCGTGTGCGGCAAGCGGGTGCGGGAGCTGCAGACCCCGCTGGACGTCCACTGGCAGCTCGCGCACGCAGGGGGCCGCCACCTCCCGACCCTCGGGGAGGCGCTGGCGGCGGGGAGGCTGCTGGGCTGCGAGGCCGCCCGCCTGGACGAGGCGGAGGAGGCGCTGGTGGCGGGCAACGCACCGCGGCACTCGCCGCCGCCAGGGGCGGCGGGCGGGTTCGCGCGGCTGCCTGACGGATGGGATGCCAGAGCGTTCGAGCGCCTCCTGGACGGGGCGGTGGCGCCCCTCCAGAAGAAGGCAGAGCACTTCGTCCTGGCCTGGTTCGCCCAAGGCCGACGGAGTGCTGCAAGCCCTGGGCGTCTCGGTGGCGCCGTCGGCGGCGGCGCAGGGCGGGAGCGGGCTGGAGCAGGCCGACGTGGAGGAAACGGAGTCGGAAGATGGCGTCAAAGAGCGGGGGACTTGGAGGGTGACGCCTGGGACGTCGTGCTGGACACCTTCGCGCTGGAGGATGAGGTATCGCTCGAGTCGGAGGGCACGGGCGCGGGCGAGTGCGGACCGGCGGCAGCGCAGGTGGAGAAGAACGTGGCCAAACCGACGGCAGGGAAGCTGAGCGAGGGTCTGCACGAGGCCGCGGACGGCACCAAGGCCCAGGGGTCGGAGAACCGCAGACTCAAGCATGGGGAAGCGGACGGCACCAAGGCCCACGGGTCGGAGGGCCGCGGTATCGTGTGTGCAGGCTCGGCGGGCAAGAGCTGCATTCATTGTGTATGGCGCGGGCCCCAACTAAACTTTGTAAATGCATTTGACAGGGATGGTGGGCCCGCGTGAGCACACACACACACACACACACGCCCGCCCGCCCGCCCGCCCGCCCGCCCGCCCGCCCGCCCGCCCGCCCGCCCGCCCGCCCGCCCGCACGCACGCACGCACGCACGCACGCACGCACGCACGCGCACACACGCACACACACACACAACACAACACACAACACACACACACACACCCACACCCACACCCACACCACACACCACACACCACACACCACACACCACACACCACACACCACACACCACACACACACACACACTTGTTTTACAATCCAGCGGGGGCCCAACGGCAAGAACGGGTGACGAGCAGACGCGGAAAAGCCGGAAAAGGAGGCGGCGGAGGGGGAGGAGGAACGAGTAGGACAAAAAGCGCGCCCGGCGAGCGCGCGGGACAACGGCTGCCCAGGGCAGCCGCCGAAGCTAATTCCACCTAATTAGCCCGGCGCCGCCGCACCTCTAGTCGGGGGGGCCCGGGCGCGCCGCGAAGCGCTGCCTCAAGACCCCGCGCCAGGCAGCCTCGGCGCCGCCGGCCCGCGCGGGCGGGAGTACACACACACACACACACTTTTTTCCGTCGGCGGCAAGGCGGGGCAATCCGCTCCAGCGTGGCAACGATGCAGGGCACCTGCAAAGCGAATTGGCCAGCATGCAGGAGGAGGGAGGAAGAAGGACAGAAACGGGGGGGAGGGCGCGCACTCAGTGGCGGAAGACTTCCGCCGAGAGCAGCCAGTGCGGCCAGCGGGCGGCGGGGACGGCATCGGGGGGGCCGGAGCGCAGGTCAAGCAATCCGCGTCGGCAGGCGCGAGGCGCTGGGCAAGGGAAACAGTGCGAGCGCCCGTGGACTGCCTCGAGCAAAATGCTTCATCTTGTTCTTCAGCTTGACGTGCGATGCCATACGCACTCGCGTGGGCGCTGGTGGACGGCGCGTCTGGGCGTCCAGAAGGGCAGCAGGGCGCGGCGACAGCGAACACGACCTGCGGGGTGGCGGCGCCATGGCGGCCCGAGGAGGGGGGGAGCAGGAAGGCGGGCGAGGAAAGGAAGACGAGGAGGAAGGCCCGCAGCTGCGGCGACAGCGGCGGGGCGGGGGCACTGTGGAAGCACAGACTCGAGGCGAGCCGAGCCGAGCGCGTCTGGGAGCGCGAGGGCCAGAGAGGCGAACGGAGGTGCCAGGCACGGAGGCGGTCCGCTCTACAAAGAGGTGGGCGCGGCCAGGTAACAAAGAGTGCGGAGTGAGGGCGGGCACTGGCGGGCGCCGGCGGCCGCACTGCAAAGGTGCAGACGACGGGGAGGGCGAAACTGCAGAGCCAACAGTGGCGACCGACGGTGCCTGGCCCAGGGGCGGCCGCTCCACAGGTGGAGCGGGCCAGGTGGCTGAGGGCGCGGAGGCAGGCGGGCACAGGCGGGTGCGCCAGCGACCGCACTGCGATGGGGCGCAGACGGCGGGGTTGGGGGCGAAGCCGAGGGGGGGGCGCGGCCAGAGGGCCGCGCCACAGGGGCACCGGAATGGTGCAACAGGCAGGGGAACTCTGGGTCACCCGCCGCCCCGACGGACAGCGCGTGACGGCGAGCCAGGAGCGGCGCACGAGCGGCGCAGGAGGAGGAGGGGCCACGCGCCGCCCCGACGGACAGCACGTGGCAGCCAGCGGGTGGCAGCAGCGCTGGCAGGGAGACCAGGGAGGCACCGGAAGGGTGCAGCGAGCGGGTGAACAGAGCCACGCGCCGCCCTGACGGACAGCACGCAGCGGCCGCTGACGCGAACACACACACACATACACACACACACACACACGCACACACACACACCCACACCGAAACATGAGGGCCCCCCCATCATTTAAGACTGGGACGGTGGAGCCGCAGACGTTCTCCTTCAACGGCGAGGTGACGAGACCGGCGCGAAGCGCTAAACTGGGACACTCTTAGGCGTAGTTCCACCTGGCGTAACAGATGGGAGGTCCGGATGGGGGCAGACAGTTGCAAGAAAAAACGAAACTGCCCATACGACTGCACACACACACACACACACCACAAGATGCGAGCACCCCACGTCATCCCTGAAACATATCAATGCGAAACTATCGCAGGGCGCCAGCGCAGGGCCCTACATTTTGCCTGCACGCGCTGGGCAATCTGATACCCCCCGCCGTCCCTGACAACTTGCCATACAAATGATCGCGGGACGCCTGAACATGACTTGGATGTTGCCGCTAAGTGCATGCCGTTTTGAGGGTAATGGGTGTGTTGGCATTGACCCTGGTTGCCAGCTGGGCCAGTGGGGGAAGAAATGTGTACCACCAGTAATAAGCCAGGGAGCCTATCTCCGACGAGGAAGATATGATTTAAGAACGAGCCTGCTAAACCACCTACGAACGCCCTACAGGGCTGGTGGGACTTCTTCGCCCAAAGCTTCTTCTCTGATCCCTCCTCCTCTCCCAACCCTCCTCTTCCTTCGCGATCTCCTCGGGTAAGCAAGCGACCCCAAGACAACCGACATCTGGATGGCAACGCTCCGGGCGGACGAGGACAGCAACGACTGTCCGAGGCCTCTGGGACTCGCAAGAATCTCGCCAGCTGCTCTTTGCAGTGTTCGGCGATTCGAATCGGGTGTTGCCAAAGGTGCCCCTGGCCCAGGGTGTCCGCAGGGCTTCCAGGGAGGCCCTCTCGGTTTTCAGAGCACCTCTCACGACGCTCCAGGGGCTCCAAATGGCGTGAAGAGCCAGGAGCACTTTGAATCAGGACCACCTCCTGGCAACCCACGATACAACCAATGTCCTGGTCTGGACCGTCAAACAGGGAGAGGGGAGAACTCTGGGGCCTGGCGGCACGCAGTAATCGAGAGCCGTCGGAGGTCTGGTGCCCGCGGAGGCCCGAGGCCCCTCCTGCACTCCTTCTCCCTCGTCCCCCCTACGTAGCTCTCTGCTCGCGTCAGCCTCGGACCCATGGTCTCCGTCGACCTCGGTGCCATCGGGCACCCTGCGAAGAGACTAAAGGCGGCCCTACCCCCTACCCGCCGGCATCCCCAACGATAGACCCGGATGAACAGCAAACGCTTGGAGACCGCATCAAGCATGCTAACTCCACAGGCATGGGCGTGGCTGATGCCGCTGGCGAGGTGGATGAACCAAAGGGCGCACGCTTTCCACACGGAACTCAGCGACAGGTTCCTGCCGCAGAATGAAAGGAAAAACCGCAAGGCACGGCCAGGAGCCACGGTTCCAAGATGCCTACGCCGCACCGCTCGTGCATCCTGAGCATGGAATGGCCAATCGAATCACTATCGCTCTCGGCGAACTACTGCGGCAACTCAGAGCAATCAAAAAAGGCCCGACGTCCCACCAGGAACAAAGTAACGTTCATGACACCAGCCATCCTGGCCCCTGGGCACAGGTAAAGACGATGCAACTGCCGTCTTCGCCAAACGCTGCCGCGTCACCAGTATGACGGAACTCCCGCACGTCTGGGACATCGACGAATACCCTACCGACTATCATGTCGACGACATGACCGCCACAACCAGATCCCAGCCAAGGAGGCGCTGCCACGCTGGCGAAAACAACCACATCAACATCTTGAAAGAAAACGCACATGCGAGCCAAAGACGGAGGCCGAGCGAAAAGCAAGCGGGCCGAACTGACTGACAGCTCCAACGCTGTCTACCTTCGTACCCCGCATAACGGGACCCGCACGCGCCACCAGGCACCGATGGGAACGAAGAAGCAATATACAG